AAAAAGACAGATGAAAAGGCAAACCACAGATAAGTAGAAGACATGTGCATTCTGCTACAGGTGCCAAGCCCGACCTGAGGTCAAGTTTCATTCCCAGGAATCAGATGGAGGAAGAGAACTGATTCCTGCCTCCACAAGTGTGCTGTACATGTGCTCGCATGATCATAAACACAAACACAAGGTAAATAAATGTAATCTTACAAAATCTTATGTCTGGTAAAAAAATCAATATTCAGAAAACAAAGGAACTTTTACAATTCATCAACCACACAAAACTTGATTTTAAAAATGGGCAAAGTAGCCGGGCGTGGTGGCGCAGGCCTTTAATCCCAGCACTCAAGAGGTAGAGGCAGGCGGATCTCTGTGAGTTCAAGGCCAGCCTGGTCTACGTAGTGAGTTCCAGGTCAGCTGGGGCTACAGGGAGACCCTGTCTCAAAAAGACCCCCTCCCCAAATAGGCAAAGTATGGGCTGAAGAGATGGCTCAGCAGTTAAGAGCACAGGCTACTCTTGCAGAGGACCTGGGTTCAATTCCCAGAACTCACATGGCATCTGACAACCACCTGTAACTTCAGTTTCAGGGGATCTGATACCCTCTTCTGACCTCCTTGGGCACTGATGACATGGATGCACCTACCTACAGGTAGGCATTACATACGTATACATAAAAAAGAAAAATAATTAGCATATGCCTGCAATTCCAGCACTAGAAGGCTGAGAGTTTGATGCTGGCTTGGGCTATGAGACCCTCTCTCAAAAAAAAAAACAAAAAAACTAAAAACAAAAAACAAAAGGGCAGAGAAGATAAATAAAATGCCACTAAGCACAGGAAAAGATATTCACCACTAATCATTAGGAAAATACAAATCAAAACCACAACATAATACCACTTCACACTCATTAGAATGGCTATTATAAAGGGAAGGGGAACCGCCCTCCCACCAAATTCAATGGACCTGGAGAGAGAAGAAAGAAATCCTAGGGCATGCTGGTGGGAATATAAACATTTCTGGGTATAATAAATACCCCAAACATATGGAAACAATGGCTCAGAGAGGTATTTTTACATCATGTTCACAGAAGCATTATACACAGTAGTCAAAAGGTAGAAGCAACTCAGGTGCTGTGGAAGGATTAATAAGCAAAATGTAGTATATACTTAGAATGGATTATTCAGCCCTAAAAAGGAAGGAAATTCTGACACTATACAACATGGATAGACCATGAAGCCAATCACAAATGGATAATACTGTATGATTCTATGATTACACTTATTATGCGGAACCTAGTGTAGTCAAATTCACAGAGAGTAGAATCACAGATGCTAGTGGTTGAAGGTAAAAATGTTAAGTGTTTAATCAGTACAGGGTTTCAGTTTGGGAAGTTGAAAAGAATTTCTCAGATGAGGGCTGGTGTGTCACTTGGTAGCAGAACCCAAGCTTAGCATGCATGGAGCCCTGAGTTCACTATCAGTCATAAGGGGATAAAAAGGATTCTGCAGCCTGGACAACCAAGATCATTCAGCAGGTAAAGGCACTTGCTGCATAAGCCTAGAGACCTGAGTTTGATCCCTGGGACTCACAGTGCCATAAGAAAACTAACTCCCACAAGTCATCTTCTGACTTTCACACGTGCCCTGTGGCATATGTGCATGCACACACAATAATAAAATTCAGAAAAAAGCTTTTCTTTAGGGGCTGGAGAGATGGCTCAGTGGTTAAGAGCACTGACTGCTCTTGCAGAGGACCTGGGTTTGATTCCCAGCACCCACATGGCGGCTATGAACCGTCCTTAACTCCAGTTCCAGGGAAGTCCAAAGCCCTATTCTGACCTTCGAGGCATTGCATGACACAGGTGCACTTATATACATGCAGGCAATACACTCATACACATAAAATAAAAATAATATTAAAAAAAGCTTTTCTTTAAAGAATTCTGCAGATGGTGATGCTAATAGTGGCATAACTGTAAATGTTGTGTACAGAGCTGTACAGTTATCAATGGTTAAGGTGGTAAATTTAATTTTGTACATTTTACCAAAGTACACACGTACATGTATACACAAACATACCTGCTATGCAATCCTCCTTAATGACTCTACCCCACCCCAGTTCAATGGTAGAACATCCCTAGGTTTAATCCTCAGCAAATTTTTTGTAGAAAAAAAATTTTTTTTAAGTAAAATTTGCTGGGTGTGGTGGCATACATCAGCACCCTCAGCACTTGGGAGGCAGAGGAATGATCCTAGTTCAGGACTGCAACTCTGAATCAGGTAATAACAGCTAGCTCATTTCATTCTTGCCTCATTTTAACTCAATCAGTAGATCTCAGATGGGTTCACCTTGACTTTCTAAGAAAAACCTGTAACGGTTCCTTATGCCTTACTCAAATCTCAATTCAGCACTTAAACCTTTCTACAAACAACCTTCCAGTTGTCTCTAATATTTCCTATGGAAAACATTCTTCCAAGGAAATTCCACTGTCAGCTCACTTTTGTCTCCCTCTATTTCCCTTCTCCAAAGCTAATCTCCAACCCAATTTATATTCTTGCTTTTCTCTCAAAGTAACTGCTCCAACTTCTGTAAATACAAAACACCCATTGACCAATTGAAATTCTGAGTATTCCAGGAAGTTCTTTAAACTCCTAAGGCCCCACTAGAACTCCCTCTACCCTGAACATCCACAGCATTCTTTGTATTAGTAAAATCTTAATAGACTGGTTTCTAGACTCCTGTGACTATATCTTTTCCCAATAAGAACCTTATGGCAAAGTCTATTATATATTATACTATCCCAACTCTGGTATAATGCAAGCACAAAATGTATCTTCAATAATCACTTGTGTGATTTTGGGTGTGTTGAGTTTAGTGACTAAAATATGAAAACAAAATCACTTGGTTGTATTGTAGTTCTGGTTACCTGTGACACACCACACTATAAATAAAATTGCTGTGACCCAAGAAAAAGAGAGGAGGAAACTAGACAGTATAACCTAGAAAATAGTCACTGGTGTTTTAAATCCTAAAATTAGAGTCTGGTACAAAGAACATCTTTAATTTTTTTCATTTTTGGTCTTTTTGAAACAGGGTTTCCCTGTAGCCCCAGGTGGCCTGGAACTCACAGATCCACCTGCCTCTACCTCTGCCTCCCAAGTGCTGGGACTATAGATATGAGACACCACGCCCGGACAAAGAACTTCTTTAAACGCTCATCGTGTTAGTATACAGAATACAGGAGTTAAGTTTTATGGGATAAAATACTGACCTAGGGCTTCACTGAACTATGCAAGATGGAGCCATGCTATAATTTTATGAAAATGTAGCCACTGACCTAAGAAAACTACAAATGAAATGTCACTCAACTTTCATTAAATTCAAGTGTATGGAGGAGTGGGCTCTTCAGCAGTTATTTTGAGGCAGCTGTTGGGTTCAGAGAGAGGTGCTTTCAACTTTATTGCACAAAGGCCCAGGAACTGGGATGAGAAATGGTGAAGAAGAATGAAATCATGAAGTCTAAGCAGCCCTAGGCACGGAGGGAAAAGGGCATGAAGAGGCCTAGGTCGTAGTTTGGGTCTCGCTGGTCACCAGCTGTAAGACACCACCCTGGCAACTCCCTCTTTTCTGGGTCCAGTCTCCTCACTTTAAAGCACCAAACACACCACATCACTAAGGGTTTTCCTGACTCCAAAATTCCAGAAGTCTAATCACAGCTGCTGTTAACAATGCATGAGTCTTAGAACTTTCAATCTTCCACACTTCAAGAAGAAAGCAATTCATTTCAGCAATCTACAAGAAACAGATGCTACTGAGATACAAAAGATACTGCTGGTTGAAAAAGCTAAATAATTGAGCAGAAATGCCTCTCTGCTCAGTAACATGTTTTAGCAGAGGGAAGAGTAGTGTGCTGGTACAGAGGGCCAAGACTGCTTTAGCAAATCAGGCCTACTCCAGAGAGCTTATTATATGGAATGTGAAGAGGTGCTATTGTAGTTCCAATAGGAACAAGAGTTTCTCCAAAAGGGGTGTGAAAGTTCTCATGGGGGGGGAGTGAGAGAGGAAGAGGGGAGAGAGGAAGAAAG